AACGTCGAAGTGTAGCTCCCTAAATGGTCTCACTGTGAACAACAAATGCCCCAACGATCCAGCCAATGTCAAGTGCTGTCTCTATCCCGACTGCAAAACCGAAAGCGGCATCTGCAAGAAGGACAGTCTCTCCTGCCCCGGCGGCTACGTTACGTATGTGGACAGCGCCCTCTCTCTGTCGTTTTGAACAACCATGGACTCCAAATGGAAACCTGCTAACCTCACGCTTTTGCAGTGGCGAGTGTCCAGGCAAGGCACATTACCGCGTAAGTCATTAGCTGCATCTCATCCGCGCCCATCTGTCTAACGTGACAACAGTGCTGCAAATGGGCCCAGAAGCCACCGATTTGTACCAGGGGAGACAAGGGCCGCCGCTGCATTCCCGTCGGATCATGAACAGAGAGTTGGCACGGTTATGCAAGGGAAAACTTTGGGTTATCGTATTGAATTGACTACTTCTGCTGGTGTCTTTTGATAGCTTCTGCGCATGTGAAGGGATACGCTGCAACGTTGCCATCGGCGGTGATTCATGTTTCAACAGACGATCTTGCCACTGCCAGTCGACAGGACGAAAGGGTTGGATACCTATGTCTCAAGAAACACACATGTCTTAGCATGTGAGCCACGTTGGTGGACCTCGACTTCCATGGTGTAGTGGATGTCGCGGTGAGTATTGGGCTCTGCTCCGAAGAGCTGTTCATCTTCCTCGAAACAAAAATCGAAATAAACCATGGGGAGCGTGGTAGATCTCGGAGTGTAGTCGAGGGTTTGGTGCGCGATGTGCGCGCTGTACATGTCACGGGGGTTGATTCACAGGACACGACGCGGGACGTCGGTCAAGCGAGCAATTACATTGCATTTTTCCTGCCAGTAAAAAGAGAAACTATGCCCATCCAATGATCAGACCATATAAAACCCCCAGGTCCATCCCATAACGCCGGCCAGAGAGATCAAGGTATCATACAGCGCATTGAAGAAGATTTTGATCCACATGAGGCCCAAGGTGCCGTCTATGAATAAGAAATGCGACGCCGCTTCTGCTTGGTCCCTTCCTAAGCACCAAGAGAGCTGCGCTTCTTCTTCAGCTTCTTCTCCTTCTTGGGCGTCTCGTCGTCCTCGTGCTTGCGCTTCTTCTTGCTCTCCTTGACTGGCGTCGCGTCGGCCTCCTCGCCGTCCTTGCGCAGCTTCTTGAGCTCCTTCTTGCTGAAGACGACGGGAGAGCCGTCCTCGCCGAGCTGGACGTCGCCGCGCTCGAACTTGCGCTTGAACTTGGACACGCTAATGCCGGCCTCCTCGGCCAGACGCTCGTAGTCCTTTTCGCTGAGCTTCGCGGGGGTGCCCTTGACGGTCTTGCTCTCCTTGACGGGGGTCTCGGCCGCGGCGATGGAGACGCGCTTCTTCTCCTTCTTCTCCTTCTTCTTGTCCTTTTTGCTCTTCTTCTCCTCTTCGCTCGCGTCGTTCATCTCCTCGTCCTCGTCTTCGCTGTCGGCATCCTTCATCTCCTCGTCAACGACCTGGATAAGCTTGCCGTTGGTCTCGACACCATCGGCGTCGGCGTTGTACTTGCGGCTCTCCTTCAGGCTGAAGCCACCAGGGGTGGTGAGCTGACCGTCGGGGCCGACACCGACACCCTTGGGCAGGAGAGGCTTGCCCTCCAGTTTGCGGAGGAGGTTCTCGAGCTTGATGCGGTTGGTGAGGCCGAGGATGCTTCTCTCCTCCTCATCGTCCTGGTTCTCGGTATCGCCGAGGGCATCGACACGAAGTCCGAGAGCAGTCTTGGCGGCGAGCGAACGGGCAATCTTTCCCTTGTTCTTGCCGGTGGCCTGGCCGACGAGAGAGGAGTGGTAGATGATACCGTACTTCGGTGTGTCGTGCTTGGTCTTCAGCGCACGGAACAGGGCCTTCTCGGCACCGAAAATCTGGATGGTGGAGGAGGGAGCCTTGGCCAGGTTGATGAGGGAACCGGCGTGGGCAATCAGACGGGCACCGACGAGGTAGCCGACCAGAGCGGTCAGGTTGGGAGCGAGAGCGCGCATGCGGGTCTCAAGGTAGTTGGAGAGCTGAGCGCGGTACTCGGAGTAGGTGATGGTCTGCTGGGCCAACAGTTGGATGTTGTCCAAATCTTCAGGGGTAATCTCAGTTCCCATGGAAATCTCTGCAGCAGTCTTGACAGGGCCCTCGAGCTCCTCGGGGAGGATGTCGGAGAGGTCGGTCTCCGCGAAGTTTTGACGCATGCCAACAGCGACAACGAGACGAGCGTAAACGAGGTTGTCGTTCAGGATCTTGGCCAACTCAGGGAAGTGCCAGCCGTACCATTCCTTCGTGCGCATGGCGTAGACGTTCAGCTCCTTGTCGAGGTCGTCCACCAGCTTGATAGCCTGAACGACCATCGCGTCGACCTTGTCGGCGGAGAACTTGAGCTTGTGGCGGGAGATGGAGTGGGACAGACCGAGGGCCATGCGGTCCATGGTCTCGGTGGTGAGGCCAGGCACCAAAGAGGACATGTTCTCACGAACAGCACGGAAGAGGTCCAGGGTGACGGCGTCGGAAACGGCCTGAATGTTCAACTCGGGGAGCTTTCCGATCGCAGTACCGAGCTTAATGTCGGCAACAGCGAGCGAGGCCTTCTTCTCGTCCTTGATCTCCTTGAGCAGGTTGGCGAGCAATGGGGGAACGCGACCCTCCTTGAGACCAGCGGCTTCCTCGACGGCGACGGCGGAGCTATCGAACTTGACGAAGGACTTGAGCTTGAGCCTATGCGACGGTCAGCTTTGCGTCTTTGTTTCGCAGTTGTGCAGCCGTCTTCGCGGTCTCCAGCCCAGAGCTGCACCGCGAGGCGCGCCTTGGCTGGTCGGCGAGGTACGGTTAGCCATTGGCTTTTGTGGACGCGACTTACATCTCATTGATCTTCTCCGAAGAGGTAGGACCAGAAGTGAGCTCATCGCGCTTCAGGAGCTTCTTGTCAGCAGCCTTGAACAGACCGTAGCTGTGTCTCGTGTTAGCTCGCGGGTGTCCAACGCCATCTTTTTTTCTTGTTCTTATTGTAGAAAAACTTACCCTGCCGGCGTTTCGGCGAGAACGAAGAGAGACATTGTGAAATATTGTCGGATCCCTTCCAAGCAAGCCGTACAGATCCCTCGGGTAAAATCCTCCGCGCGTGGGTGTAAATGTTGTTGTCCGCGGAGGCAGGCTCGAGAAGCGAGTTGATGGGTTTGGAAATATTTTTTTTCTGAACCAAGCTCCACCTAATTTTTTTCGACGGCGGAACTGGGCGCCCCCACTCTAGACCAATTGGCAAGTGGGATGGCTCGGAGCGCGTAAAAACCGTTTCGCCGACTGGCTGGATGCGGTGGGCCCGTGCGCCACTCTCTGCACGGTAATGATGGGGACTGGGACGCCAGGCTGGGACCTGGATGCTACGAGTGCAGTGTTTGGCCGAGTCCTAAGCGTAATATCCACGACCGCAGCTGTCTCCGTTTGCGCCTCCACAACACCGGCGTCACCTCTACAGCTCTCTTGCATCGAGCATCAGCAAGCAATATCCAACGTCAAGATGGAGGGTCTTTTCTTCAACGTCAACAGCGGGTAGGTCACCAGCAGACCATTGCGTGTGGCGTTGCGCTCGTCGCTGATCATCATACAGCTTCCTCGAGGGCATCGTCCGTGGCTACAGAAATGGCCTCCTTACAAGCTCCAGCTACAGCAACTTGACCCAGTGCGAGACCATCGATGGTCAGTATCATCCCACCATCTGACGCGATGACATTCTGACTCGTTTCCAGACCTCAAGCTGCAGCTTGGCCCTGCCTATGGCGACTTCCTCGGCAACCTCCCTCCCAACCCCTCGACGTCAGCCCTGGCCGCGAAGACGACCGACAAGCTCGTCTCCGAGTTCCGTTATGTTCGAGCCAACGCTATCGGCACTCTTGCCAAGTTCATGGACTACCTCACCTACGGCTACATGATCGACAACGTTGCCCTGTTGATTACCGGCACCCTTCACGAGCGAGATACCCGTGAGCTTCTCGAGAGATGCCATCCCCTTGGCTGGTTCGAGACCATGCCCGTTCTGTGCGTCGCAACGAACATCGAGGAGCTGTACAACAGTGTCTTGATCGAGACGCCTCTTGCCGCCTACTTCAAGGGCAGTCTTAGCCACCAGGATCTCGACGAGCTCAACATCGAGATTGTCCGCAACACCCTGTACAAGAACTACCTCGAGGACTTCTACAACTTTGTCAACACGCACCCTGAGATGTCCGGCTCGCCCACCTCCGAGATCATGTCCGAAATCCTCGAGTTCGAGGCCGATCGCCGTGCCATTAACATCACCCTCAATTCCTTCGGTACCGAGCTGAACAAGTCCGACCGTAAGAAGCTCTACCCCAGCTTCGGCAAGCTGTACCCGGAGGGCACCTTGATGCTCTCTAGAGCAGATGACTTCGAAGGCGTCCGCCTGGCTGTTGATGGTGTCTCGGACTACAAGAGCTTCTTCGAGGCCGCCGGTCTTGGTGGTGGCCCCTCTGGACCTGGCAACATGGGTGGCGGCTCCAGCGCCGATGGCAGGAGCTTGGAGGATATGTTCTACCAGAAGGAGATGGAAATTTCCAAGAGCGCCTTCACCAGACAATTCACCTTTGCCATTGTTTACGCCTGGGTGAGGCTTCGTGAGCAGGTAAGATCTTCCGGTTACTATCATCTAGAACATCAACTGACGTACTATAGGAAATCCGAAACATTACTTGGATCGCTGAGTGCATAGCCCAGAACCAGAAGGACCGGATCGGCAACTACATCAGCGTTTTCTGAGTTTGGTGTTTCCAACTGTTCTGTTAAGTTTTGTAGAATACCAGTGTTTCATCGTTTCAATGGCAGGTTCATCACGGCGCAAGGAGGCAGCTCAGGTTCATGACGGGGAGATCAGCATCTGTACCGATCGCTATATTGTACATAGAGGACAATTACAAGTCTGAGTTTTACAAGTCTTCTATCTTCATTCCCTAGAAGCTGATCTGCTCCTGCCAGGTTGCTGGTGACAGACCCAGCTTCTCCAGCATGCTTGTCCACCTCTCACTGCCTCTCTCCTTCTTCTCCATGTACCTCATCAACCTCTGCCTTCGGTGGCACAGCACTCTCAAATTCCTCTTGTTGTGCTTGTCCTTGTATCCGCGGTTCTGGCCCAGCTCCTTGGCCAGCTTCCTGATCTTGGCCGTCAGGATCGCAATCTGCACCTCTGAGCTTCCCGTGTCGGGCCCGGCTCTCTCGGGCTTCGGGGGAGCGTTGGGGTCGGCGAGGGCCGACTTTGGCTTCTGTCTCAGGACCTTGTCGGTGTTGTGACGTCCAAACTCTTCCACGCATCTCTTGATGTTACTGTGCAGAAGGATCTTGGAGTTGGCGTTCTCCAGAGAGAGAATGCGGTTCAGAATCTCCACCACCTTGGCATGGTTCTTCTCGTGCTCCTGCTCCGCCTGTTGCTCTTTGACGGGGTCTGCTGTCTCGGGGTTGTCGCTCTTCAACGGCTTCGTGAGGGTGTACGCCTTCTGTATCACTTGTTCCAGTTCGTCGCGGGTGACCAGGTGGTTGAGGAGTCCCGGTGTTGTCGGAAGCGCATGGCCTTCGGCGATGATTTTGCCCTTTCCGTCCTTGATATCGGGTGTCTTGGGCGCTTGGCCGGCCGAGTCGAACGATTCGACAAAGGGAGATGGGATGCCGTGGATCGGGTCGCCCCAGTTCGCGTCCTTCTCCGCCTGGATCTCAGCCTGCCTCTTCACGTTGGCGGCCTTGCGCTGCTGCGCCTGCTGGTATCGGTACGGGTCTGACTTCGCCTTGCGCTTCCGCTCCCTCAGTGAGAGGTTTGCGGTTTGGACGACGGGGAGGAAGCTTGGGGTTGCTGGCCTCACAGCTGGGCGCAGGCACACTATCTCGAGCAATTAGCCGTCGGTTCACTTCCTTCACAGGTTCAATCGCAGCTGGAGCTTACGGCTAACGGTGCCTAGCCGTTGCAGGCTCTGTAATCTGGGAGGCATGGCGGCGACAGTTCCCCTTCAACACGATCATCGGCGTGGAGGGTCGCCATAAAATTTCCAGCCTCAATGGCCCCGTCTTCCAATCGCTCGAAAAGGGTGGGGCCACAATCCACGTTCGGCCTAGCGCTTTCCGTCACGTGCGGCATGAAGCAGCTGCGACCCCAAGTGCGGCTAGTCCCGGTTCGGCTAGCGCGGTCAGGGCAGGCGAGCGCGCACACTTCTCTGAATATTGCCTGGAACTTTTTTCCTCACGAGAAGCTCTTGATCGAAAATACTCCTCCATCACCACCAAGTCGCCCCTCGTCACCCCCGTGGAAGATCGACCCAAATCGCCCAAGATGGCTCCCGCTAACCTGCCCTCGGTCTTCAATGCCACTTCCCAGGACATTGAGATGCTGCTTGCAGCTCAAGCCCACCTGGGAAGCAAGAACCTCCAGACTCACATGGAGCCCTACCTCTGGAAGACCCGCGCCGACGGTGTCAACGTGATCAACGTTGGCAAGACCTGGTAAGAAGAAACCGATCCACAACGACGAGCTTGCGACGCAGGAGGGAAAATTATACACCAAAATTCTTTTCTTGGCCTGTTTGCGCGCGCATCAGCAGCGATTTTGCAGCAATTCGCTGACTTTTTTGCGCCAACCTACAGGGAGAAGATTGTCCTGGCCGCCCGCATCATCGCCGCCATTGACAACCCGGCCGACATTTGCGTCATCTCCGCCCGTCCCTACGGCCAGCGCGCTGTCCTCAAGTTCGCTTCCCACACCGGTGCCGTCGCCATCGCCGGTCGCTTCACCCCCGGTTCCTTCACCAACTACATCACCCGTTCCTTCAAGGAGCCCCGCCTGATTATCGTCACCGACCCCCGCACCGACGCCCAGGCTATCAAGGAGGCCAGCTACGTCAACATCCCCGTCATCGCCCTCTGCGACACCGACTCTCCCACCGAGTACGTCGACGTTGCCATCCCCACCAACAACAAGGGCCGTCACTCCATCGGTCTCGTCTGGTGGATGCTCGCCCGTGAGGTCCTCCGCCTCCGCGGCACCATCTACAACCGCGAGACCCCCTGGGACGTCATGGTCGATCTGTACTTCTGTATGTGTTTCCCGCTCCTTATGGCAGAGGTGCTGGACAATGGCTAACCGAGTGCGCGCTTGCGCCGCAACAGACCGCGACCCTGAGGCCGAGGCTGAGGACAAGGTTGAGGAGGAGAAGCTCCCCGGCGTTGAGGAGGAGGGCCCCGCTGCCATCGAGTCCGGCTTCCCCGCCGCCGGTGGTGACTGGGACGCCGCCCCTGCTGCCGCTGGCTTCACCGGTGCCCCCGCCGCCACCAACTGGGACGGTGCTGAGGGTGACTGGGCTGCCGCTGGCGCTGCCGGCACCGCTGGCGACTGGGCCGGCGAGGCCTCCGCCGCTGCTGCTCCCAAGGAGTCTCAGTGGTAAACTTCCTGATATTGCGGTGTCGGTCAGGTAGTGGACCAAACGAGAGGGGCTTCGGACAATGACAAACCAACAAAAAGACAAAACGAACACGAGAAAAAGATCCCTCCCATGAGCGTGGGATTGAAAAAAGCGATTCGTCAAAACACTTGCAAAAATGGTCGGCGGGAAAACACAGCAATGGTCATGGAAAAATGGTAGATACGTCTTCCCGGAGTTGTTTATGATTGCTGGTAGCATCTTGGGGCAAAGGGTTCAAACTCGGCCGCACTAATGAGGGAAAGATACTCGAACCAAATCCGTGATATAGTCTATACTCTGGATTGTGCATGTATTGGGGGAGAGGGAAAGCCCTGTGGGCCCAGTAGGGGTGGACTTGATCGTTATCCCGCCCTTTTACTCTTTGAGGCTTCTGGTTGATGAAGAACTCGCATTGCAAAATACCACAACCGTCGTTGGTCTCTCACCTGCGCTTCCACACGTGTTTGAGTGGTGACGTGACCTCGGTGTCCTGCATGGACTGTCTTGAATGCCCATGTCCTGTCATCCATCTGCTGTTGCCTGTAAGCCATCTCAGTGCCGGTATTGGCATGCCAAACATTCATTCCATTGCATCCATCGTAAGACTCTGCCGGGAAACAAAAAGATCAGACCAAAATCTGCCGATCTGGCAGAACGAGTTTTCCCAGCCCTTGGTTTGTCAAGCGGCATCTTGAAATCCGTTCCCAACCAAGACGGCTTAAAGGCAGCGGAAAGGCGAGCAGTAGGTGACTTGTCGTCTATGCTGGTCATCTCCTCGGTAGTCATCTCCTTGGTCGAGTTTCATGATTGGATAATTGTGGGAGTAGCAATGGTTGATGGCGCGTGGTAACCGGATCACTGCACAGGCGTATGACCTGCAGGAGCCACCAGAAGAGTCACGAATGGGGGTAGCATTATTCAATTGTCGAAAAGTTTCTCTGATTTACTCGCCTAGAGTATAAATCTAACATGCAAGGGGGTATTGAACGTTCGTTGCTCAAGAGACAAAGCCCTGAGCCTAGGAAGCCCGACATGTCCGTTCCGTCCCAAAAGTCCCATTTCCTAACAACTCCTGGTGCTTGCCTAATCGCTCGCTCGCTCGCTCAAATGACGCTGAGTTGGGGTATAGACAGCCATAAGTATCTATGTGCATGTTGGGCCTACCATGGCCACCTCTTACTTCATCCTCCATTCCGAGCCGTGTATGCTCTTGTGATATCTTGTTAAAATTAACAGTACAGGGTATATTTCCACTACCTCGAGGATGCCACCTCGAGTAGGGTCGTGTAGAACGACGATCGCTGAAAGAAGCCTTAAACGAATGTGTAGTTTGGGTATGTGCTTGTTGTACAGGTTTGGGGAAGGAAACGTGAGCGAAGGTCGTGATCCGTAAGAAGCACATGTACAAAATCCGGGTATCTTTCGATGGTCGTAATTGCCTTATAGGCTCTGTCATTATGAAAATGACGTAATTAAGTAATAGATGCCGCGAGCAGTGCCAATATTGTTTGGCCTACTCTAGGCGGTGAGAGTGTTTGCGAATCTCTTCATCGCTCAAAGCACTCATCCAGAGGCAGCGCTCAGTGATGCCCTCAACAGGCTGGAATTCGTACAGAGTACTGGCCTCCAGTAGCCTGAGTAATGTCTTGACAATGGTAGCCGAGTACCTGCACCTCTCAAAGTTGACCAGAGGGGCGGTTGTCGGCGAGCTAGCAATCTCAGACGGCCGCTGCGCGTTGAATAGAAGATCATGGGTGTAGATGCCGACGAATGGGATGCAGCCATCGTCGGAGCCTCCCTCCATCTCCGCACGCAAGTTGTAGAAGTTTCGTGTAGGGGAGATAAGACCCTCGAGTTCTTGCAAAGTTTTCATATCGTAAGGCGGTACCATGGCCCAAGTCCTCGTCAACCGCGACGCCTCCATCGACGTGAGAGCAATGGTGATCTGGCTCATGGTCGCAAAGTTCCGGTAGCGGCGGCAGTGAGCTGCGATGTGAATGAACTTGATGATACAGCGCGCCCGCTCTTCAATGTTCTGGGTTAGCACAATCTCGCTGCAGGCCCACTTGACCATGATGTTGAAGCGAGCGATGACTACTTCAACGCCATGAGCATCTGTGTTCCGGAGAAAGTCAACCCAAGACCTGGAGTCATTGTTGGTTGCGTTCTTCCAGCCCATCTCGATGAGCTCTTTCCAGTCGATCTCGTTCAGAGCGTCCTTTTCAATGAGAGTGAACTGCTGGGCCAAGATCTCTGAATCGAAGGCGAGGATGAAGGGCAGATGCACCGAGAATCTCAATGACGACTCTCGCTCTTCCTCAGGTATCTTTGGCTGCCCGCGCAAGGCCTCCCTCGTACCAGTGGGATCAGCGGGGGAGTTGAGGTACAAAGCATCAGTCGGAGTTGCGTCAGGAGTTAGCGGCAGGGGCTTCCGCTGGAAGACTTGACTCTCGCGAAGCTCCGGGATCATGGCAGCTTCAGGCGACATACGAAGAGCCTGGACGAGTGTCATTGGCGGCGAGGGAGGATTTTGGCTGTCAACAGGGCTAACGACTGATTCTCGCAGAGGACGAGGGTCGAACTCAAAAATCGAGGCGCTGCGATGTGACTTGGGCGCCTGCGGCTTCGGTGCCACGAATTCGTCTGCTTCGACAACCTCTGCCGAAAGCTCGGAAGATAAGTCGGAAACATTGTCGTCCTCTCCATCGCTGTCGTCTTCCAGGAATGACTGCTCGCTCGGCGGCGCCTTTGTGTCACCTGACTTGATCTTCTCCATACTCTCTGTCTTACGCACGAACTCGTAGGACGAATGATGGGATCCAGTGTCTTCCATGGGACGAGGTGTCACAGCCGGCGTGATATCGTCGTCTGGTCCCTGGAGAATGGACATATTGGTCCACTCGCGAACGCTTGCCTTGCTCTGGCCGTCATCTGAGAAATCTCGTTCCAAAAGGGGTATCGAACAATACGATCCTCCCGACTTTTCGGACAGGAACGAGCCTGTTTCTGTGGGCGGTCGTTGAGGAATATCAAGGAAACTTGCATGTGCATCGGGTCCCTCTTGATGCTGGTGAGTCGGGATCGCATCTCCAGGCAAGACATGCAAGTGCCGGTTTTGTCTGCCCTGCTTGGGTGATCCTTCCATGTCGTTCTTTGCCACCATCTCTGCGATCACACCTGGAAGAGGGGTGTTGGCGGGTTCCATGGACAGCTTGAATGTCCTCTTCTCGTACTTGCCCTCCAGCTTAAGTAGAGCCGACTCAACTCCACCGTCATCGTCAGCATCGTCTGGAATTTGTGCCAACTTTTGTGCCTCCGCCTCGAAAGACGGACGCATAATTGGTTTAGACGAGTGCGTGCTGAACAGAGAAACTTGACGTTTGGCCGACGGCTCTGCCAGGGCCCCGAGCGAGAAAGTTTCCGCGTTGTCCTGGTGGGAAAACTCGCTAGAAACGACATCGACAAAGGCACTGGTATCATGGTTCGAGCTTTGCAGATAGGAGCTTCGCATAGACTCTGAGTATGTCGTGAGGGAGCCAACAGACCGCGACTTACGCAGTGGGAAGGCGTCCAAATCGCCGACATTGTTTACAGCTCGCAGGTCACCGCCGGGGCGTCGTCTCAGGATGCGGAGAGGTTCAGGCACAGGACTGGGCTCGTCCTCGTCAGAAATCGAGTTCTCCGAGTAAGTCGTCGCATCGAAGCTCTTCACTGTCGAGCGTGGGTTGAAAGCACTTCCGAAAGAGGCAGCACGTCGGGGAATTGTAGCAGAATCAAGGGAGCGATTGGTCCTGCTCGACTTTTGACGAATATGCCTCTTCGCGGATCTTCTGAGAGTGGGACGCCTTGAAATCGGTCCCACAGTGTCTGATGCGGGACGATCAGTGTCTACAGAGGGACGTGCCTGACTATCGCCCAGCGTTGCTAAGTCAGGAACGAATGGCGGTAAGGGATCGGCAGATAGAGACGGTCTTATGACATGCTGATTGAGAAGATATGAAGACCGTCTAGGGGTACCCATCAGATGTCCGGGCGGCGTGTTCGGCGGTGTTGGATCAGCTGCCGGCGGCATGAAAGAATCGGCAAAGGCCTCCACAGAATCATTGACTGGAATTGCTCCATGCATTGCGGGAAGAGGGCTGGTCACCGTGTCGTCGACGATGACAATCGACTTGCTCCCGGTGGTAATGGCCATGTCGCTGACAGGTCTGAGGGTGTCATTGTCGTGGATGCTGCTGCCAAAGGCCGACGTGATATGGGCCGCGGAGTAATCCAGGGCTCCATCAGGAAGTGCACTATGCAGCGCTCCGATGGTCGGATTGAGATAGCCGCGTCGTTCAGCATCTGCCGCAGCCTCCACCGCGGCGTCTTCTCGAACAGCCTTCTTGAAGTCCTCCACAATCTCTGCACCCAATAGGTCGAGTCGAACAGGGGGCCGGGTGCCATTCAGTCGCGGTTGAGCTTGCGGGACGATGGCGGTCCCAGGGAGCCGGTTAGTGGTGGCTCCACGGGGTCCAATGGGCGAAATGTTGATGAAGTTGCCCTGGGTTGGGGAGACGTTCTGTCCTCGCGTGCCGAGCGCTCGTCGTACGCTGCCGATCAGCTTCCTCATACCTTGTCCCGACATCGCCGATGCGGTGCTTCTGTGCTCAGGGGGCACTTGGAATAGGGTGGTCTGTCGCTGGTTTTCGCCACTAAGGCTAGGAGACATCATCTCAACGTACGGCTGGCCAGGAGGCATCAAGTTTCCCCTGACAAGGCTGCCAGCAAAAGGCAGCGACATGAGAAACTCGGTCTCCTGGAATATCGTCTTCTCCGCTGCATGCTGCTTTTCTCTAAGAGAATCAGTCAGGCTTCCGCTCCTCTTGTGTCCGTGGCTGGGCCTGACGCGCTTCCCGACCAGAGCTCTTGGTGTCGTTGCTACCGGACCAGCACTCGAGTAGACGGAGCTGGATGGCGCTACTGGGTGAGCACCCAATGTA